TGAAATACTAACAGTATAAATACTTTTAATTTTCCAAGTCATTACCTCCTTATCCCCCAAACATTGCACATTGTTTCCGTTTACCTACACGTATGTACATCTGTAAGTTATGCTTACGCTGAAAATTTCGATCTGTGTGTCATACATACCACATAATTTCAGAATAGGTGCCCTTTAGTTATAAAATACTTACAGTATAAATGCTTTATAATTTTGCAGGTTATTTCCCCCTTATTCCCCAAACGTTGCATATTGTTCCCTTATACCTACGAGTAGGCACTGTGGAGGTACTCTAGTTACAAATAGGTACGCTGTAAATTCTGTATAATTACGCGGTACATTGCGGGCTGTAATCTAAAGCGTTACCGAAATGCTTAAGAGTAATGAAGTGATACAGTTAATACAGCCAGCATTTGGCTAGTCAACTAGTTGGCTAGTTGTTTGGATAGTTTTGTAGCTAGTTAATTAGTTTTAGTTAACAAGTTACTTTGTTAGTTTCAGTTTAGTCAGCTAGTTAGTTGATTGGCTAGTTAACTAGCTGCCTAGTCAGTTGGTTGGATAGTTAACTAGTTAGTTGGTTGGACTAACTTGTTTTTCCCACATTTGTATTTGTATTTCTGTCACGAATCCGGTCTATGGACTTCCATTCAATCGCCACCAGAGGTCACTCTTCCGTTACATTGACTCTCACACTACACAAACTGTTGCATGTCATCCCGGACTACATATCCCATCATCCATTGCACTGATTGCACACAGCTGTAACCAATCTCACACTCACTATATTACACCCACTCAGGTCCTTCCAAACTGCCGAGTATTGTTTAGCACTTATCACTGTTCGTTGATACCCTCTGGATAACGTTCGCTGTCTACTGACTCACGCCCGGTTTGGATTACTCTTTTGTCTTGCCCTCTATATACCTGTTTGCCATTGTCAGAACCTTGCCTGTTTTTATGACCACGCCTTTAAATAAAAGCTTTGCAGATGGATCCGCACGTCTCATGTCTCGTTCGCTTCGTAACAATTTCTACCTTTTTTCTACTTGAGACATAATTGTTTCACCTTTGGTGATACATGACCTTTAAAACTAAACTAATTACTTGTTAGTTAGGTGTTACTTAGTTAACAAGCAATTAGTTAGTTTTAGTTAGTTAGCTAGCTGGCTAGTTAACTATTTAGCTAGTCAATTGGTTGGATAGTTAAACTAGTTATTTGGTTGCATAGTTAATTAGCTTGTTAGTTTTAGCTATTTATCAAGACAGTTGAGTTTATTTATTTAGGTAGTTAATTAGTTTTAGTTTAGCCATCCCTTCTGTGTGAACACTGAGACAACACATGCGTGAATAAATGTCTCTGGTTAAATTACAAAGAAATACCTGGGAATAAAAAGCATCTAGAGCTCCAGCTTAATGACATGATCTGTTTGCCTGCAGGTGATTCACAGGAGCTGAGGATTGTGCTGCTGGGAGCCTCTGGAGCTGGAAAAAGTTCAACAGCAAATGCAATACTGGGTCAAGAGGCGTTTAAAGAGAGCAGAACCAGAGAGAGTGAGAAACAGACAGGAAGAGTAGAAGACAGAAACATCTCCATCATCGACACGCCAGGATTCTTCAACACTCAACTGACTGATGAAGAGATGAAGAATGAAATGATGAAGAGTATGTACCGCTGTTATCCTGGTCCTCATGTGTTCCTGCTCGTCATCAACCTGGAGACCTTCAGAGAGGAGCAGAGGAACCTCATGGAGCAAATTCAGGAGACCTTTGGAGCTCAAGCTTTGAAGTTCACAATGGTGCTCTTTGTTGGAAGAGAAAAAATTCCAAATAGACAATGGAAGCTCCTTATGGATAGTAGAAGGTTTCAGGAGCTTGTCAGTCACTGCAGAGGACAATATCATGCATTCAACAGTAAAAATGACATTATTCCAACTCACATCACAAAACTTATAGAGAGGATTGATGAAATCATCAAACAGAATGATGGCCAGCATTACGACATTGACATTTATTTAAGAGTTCCAATAAAGTGCAGAAAAGGAAAGATGAAACAAGAGAAAGAAATAAAAGTTCAAGAGACGAAACAAGAGCAGATACAAATAGTGCGGGAGACGATTCACATGCACACTGTAAAGGAAAAGGGCACAACAAATGTTGTGACTAAAAAGAAAGATTTTATTTCTCATGTGACAAAAATTGAGAGAACTGAATTATATGTAGACAGACACTCTAGAGATCCACAAGAAAACAGGAATGATGAAGAAGAGGTGGTCAAACCATCAGCAAAATCACTGAGAAACTGCTTTGAACACAAGGGAGAAACAAATACAGTCCAGAAACCAGAAGAATACTGGACAATGAGCAGAACAAGAAAATTCGACCAGAAGAAACAACAGACAGAGACAAAACAACATCCAACCCAAGCAGGTGAGAACAGTTTTATCACACTTTTCCCAAATATCATGACATACTTCTGAAAAATTAAACTATTGTCTTATTTTTTTCTGCTCTAAAACGGTCTGGGCCTCAGTCTCAGAGTGCATCCAGAGCGGACACACGAAACCTGGTGAGTGCACAGATCTCAGGATCGTGATGGTGGGTAAAACTGGAGCTGGAAAAAGCGCAACTGGAAACACCATCCTGGGACAGAAAACATTTAAAGAAGAATTTTCTACTGAATCTGTGACCGTGAAATGCCAGCAGCATCAGCAGACAGTAGAAGGTCGAATCATCTCAGTGATAGACACTCCAGGACTGTTTGATACGTCAATCAGCGAAGAACAACTGAAGAATGAATTAGTGAAGTGTGTAAAAATGTCTGTTCCTGGTCCTCATGCGTTTCTGCTGGTCATCAGACTAGACGTCAGATTCACAGATGAAGAGAAAAACACAGTGAAATGGATTCAGAAGAACTTTGGAGAAGAAGCTGCACGTTACACCATCATTCTGTTCACTAGAGGAGATCAGTTAAAAACATCCATAGAGGAGTTTCTGACCAAAAACAAGCAGATTCAAGAGTTAGTTCAACAGTGTAAAGGAGGTTATCATGTGTTCAATAACACAAAGGAAGACAATCGATCACAGGTCACTGAACTGCTGGAGAAGATCGACAGAATGGTGGAGGAGAACGGAGGAGAGCGTTACACAAATGAGATGTACCAGGAAGCTCAGATACAAATCTGGGAAGAAGAGAAGAGGAAGAGAGAAGAAGAGGAGAGACAGAAGTTAGAAGAGGAGGAAAAGATAAGGAAAGAGGAAAGAAGTAGGCTGGTGAATAAGGGGGTCTTAATGGGAACAGGTATGGTAGTGGGTGCAGGAGCAGCAGTTGTAGTTGGTGGAGGGACATTTGGTCCAGTTTTAATCTCAGGAGCAGCAGCTGCAGGAGGCGCAGCTCTGACCTCTGTTGTTAAAGGAGAGTCACTATCTGAAGCTGTAATGGCAGGAGCAGTAGCTGCTGGAAATGCAGCACTGAAATCTGTTACTAGTGGAGCATCAATACCTGCAGCTTTAATGGGGGGGATGAGCAAGAAATAGAGTTTCTCTTAAAGCAATTGTTTTCGTTGAAATATCAGTTTCATAATCATTCTAATGCTACACTGACTTCTTATGAGGTGAATGGCTTCTTTTTCTTTGCCATGCTCTTAAAAAAGGTAAACTGATACAATATGACTGATATAATGAATTCATGTTTAAAAATAAATAAAAAAAGCCATGACTTCACTAGCCAGCTAGACTTGAATGATCACATATTCTGCTCACTTACCAGAAATACAATTCATGTGATATTCGTCAGCTGGAAAATACCTGACATATCCCGCTGCATCTAATGCACTTCATGCGTCCACTTGTCGTTTCATTCTTACAGGAGAAGCATTTGCACTGGGAGCATTATCAGACAAAATGATGAGAAGTGTGGATTTACAACCTAACAGTCTTCAGAGGATTTACAAAAAAATAGTATAAATGGTATCAACAAGAAAATAAAAACAGAATATATTATATCATGTTCCAGTAAGAAAGTGTTTAGTGAATGTGGTGCACAGTAGATTTGAGACTCAGTCTTACGCAATCACTTGTGACTTGATAGTTTAAATATGTGGCACGTTGTTCTCTTTGCATTAAAATAATATTATTTATTAATTATATTTCGAGTATTGTAATGTGATCAAATTGATTTTCATTAAATTAATTATGCATTCAGCATGTATTGTATGAAAGCATAACATAAGATATATACATCTTGAGGTTAACTGAAACATGTTATAAATGTCCTCATTTTCCTTCTTGGGCTTTAGCTTTACTAAGATTAAAAAATGACTTTCTGCAAAAACGAAGGTCATTTACTTAACTTCATATTTTCTAAACCTGTTTGAGTTTCTTTCCTCAATGGAAGGCAAAAGGAGATATTTTCATGACTATCCAAGCAGTTCTTTTCAATTTATCAAAGCGTTATATATATATATAATTGCACCAGCTGCACCCCCCTAAGGACGGCCCTCTATATATATA